TGATATTGATCTCATTTTATTTTCTATTGAGTATATGACTAATAAATTTAGAAATGTTAATAAAGATAGCATATCTAAAAGTAGTGATTCAGGAATCAAACCTGCTATCGACTACAAGTAGAAATGTTAATAATGGGGTATCTAAAGGTGATGATTCTGAAAAAGAGTATGATTTCTTGTTCATAATTGAAATGATTGAAGATTACATATCTGAAGTAGATAATTTTAATAGTGAACCCAAAAATAGTCTATTAAAAGAGATCTATACTGATTCCTTGTCTGTAATTGAAATGATTGAAGATGACATGTCTGAAGTAAATAATTTTAATAGTAAACCTAAAGATAGTCTATTGAAAGATATCTATACTGATCAGACCTTTACTTTCTTTGAAGTTCTAGAGCAATGTTTAAAATGTTATTCAACCCGAGTGGAGTTTGAAACAAAAATAGTCTGAGTTAAAAGAGAAAATGATATTTGTTTTTGAAAAATATACAAATATTGTCATAGTGATAAATATTAGCTCTAAAAAAAGTTAAATTCTACTAAAAATCAAGATCAAGAATCAGCTTGTATAAAATGTGATTTTGTCTTGAATGCTTTTTATTAGAAATATGAATATCTTGTTTTTGTCAACAAATTTGTTAAAAAACATAATCATATATTAAATAGTAGTGAATCATTTCAATTTTTGCTATCATCTTGAAAAATACTAATATATATAAGGAAAGAAATTCAGTTTTATATCCAAGAATATTATTTAGATGTAATTGTCTTGAAGCGAATATTGAGAAATAAGTTTTCAAACCAAGAAATATATAATACTGATCTTTACAGCATAATATGCAAATTTAAAGCTGGAGTACAAATTAAAAATAACACCACAATATTATATGAATATCTATTAATATTATAACAAAAAGATCCAGATTGGTATTTTAAAGTTGATTTTGAGAGCATTGATAACAGGCTTTTTAGGATTTTTTAAATGTCATCTAAACAAAGAATTTGTGGACTCGATTTTATGATATTGTTATTAATAATAACATATGCAAAACTAATAAATATATAATACTTCTAAACATTTTTATTGTAATTGACTCAAATCAACAAAGCCGTATTGTAGCTATAGCTATAGTTTGTAATGAGATTTATCAATCTACAAATAGATTTTGAAACAACCAAAATTAGCTATCAGTAACCTTCAGCCAAAAACAATTTTTACTAATGCGGATTTGGCAATACAAATAGCTATAAATAATCAATATCCTAAAACTATAGTTTGGCATTATGCATTTTATATTCAGCAAAATTTGGTCAAAAAAATTAAAAAAAAATATGATTTTTTTTAATTTTATAATATTTAGTTTCAACCATATTTTTTTTAACCATAAACTATATAAATTTTTTTTTATTACTTATATTTTAAATACATTTAATAGACAATTCATCTATTATCTAGAGAGGATCTGCAAATTTTATAAGTAAATTTTACTATTAAGCCAAATGTAGAGAGATTTCTTTTAAAACCTTTTTTTATTAAGTAAATCACTCTTGAGCTTCTAACAAAAATTGTAAAGCTTATCAAGACATATCTAATGGTGGTAAAAATGCTAAAATCAGCCTGGTAATTCTTGAGAAATCTTTAAAAAACGTTTTACCAACATATAAAATTTCTTTAGAAAAAATTAATTTTTTTTAAAGAAATTTTATATATTGACAAAACAACTTTTGTTAAAAGCCCAAGA